AGTTCAGGGAATAAAAATGCTTTGTCTAATTTTAAATTAACCAGTACCTCTAATCCCAATTAACACCAAAGAATTCAACAAAGCAAAAGGTAAAAGGTACAATCATGCCTTAAGATATTGATTAATATTTTGGTAAGAAGCACGTATTTGGGGATATAAAATAATGTTTTCTAATTATTAAGATAAGGATTTAGGGCCCTCCCTGGTGGCGGAGTGGGTTGAAGCACTGCACTAAGAAGCTTAAGCCACTTCCGTATGAGTTCGATCCCCGCCTGCCCCGGAGGTGACCACATGGCGTGGCAGACCTCTCCTGACCCGCCCATTGCTCCCCTCAGCAGTGTACTTCGTCGATCTGCCTGTTCTGCTCCCGCTTTGTCCTTGGTGAATCCTCTCACCCTCTGCATCTCTGGCCTGTACCCCAGTTCTGTATGAATAAATATATCTTTAAAAAAAAAAAGATAACGATTTAATTTTTACTTATGGGTCTTAAAATCCATGAATAAAATTGTTAATCTAACTTTTTTCAGACTATTACTAAATATCTTATTGTATTAATAAATCTAAACTGATATACTTTTTTAAATTAATTCTCATTTATCATATGACTTATGGGTAATTTTACAATAAATTTTCAGTTACGAAAGATTTTTTTTTCTTACTAAATATGGGACACTTCACCACAACTAATTTAAATATGAAAATTTGCTAGTATGTATTATGTTAAAAATGCTATAAAGTATATACTTTTAGTAATGATCAAGACAGTTATAATATTTCTGCTTGTAACTATGTACTTTTCTTGGGTAAAAATTTTTAAAATATAACTTGTAGGGCCCTCCCTGGTGGCACAGTGGGGAAAAGCACAGCACTGCAAGCTAGCCACAGCTGCTTCAATGAGAGTTCGATCCCAGCTCCAGAGGTGGCCCACATGGCATGGCAGACCTCTCCTGACCCACCCGCTGCTGCCCTCAGCAGTGCACTTCATTGATCTGCCTGTTCTGCTCCCTACTCTGTCCTGGTGAATCTTCTCACTGCCCCTGCACCTCTGACATGTACTCTAGTTCTGTATTCATAAATAAATAAATTAAAAATATATATATATTCCTTTTTTAACCTTTTTAATGCATTCCAGCCTCCCACTTTGTTATAGCTGTGGTTAACATTGGACAGTGCATACTGAATATGTGTAACTCAAAAGTTAATGTAATAATAAATAATCTTTTGCTCTATATGCTAGATATCTCTTCTGCATGAATATTACATATTTGGTATATCATCCCAAATATTCAAATTAAGTTTTGAAACTAATTTTGGGTGTTATGAAATAACATTTAAATCTACTTCTGAAAAGCATTTTACTTTCTCTAATTCTACAAATATTAACACATAATAGCATACCATTAAAAATTATGAAAAGGCTATAATAGAAAAATCTTAGCATTTTCAAATTGTAAAGAAATGTTTGTGTGTACATGTGTGTGTATATAATTTTTTACTTCATGGGAAAAAAAGCAACCTACCTACTGACAAATATTTAAGTACTTCAATGTAGAAATGGAATTTTTGCTATTTTATCAAACATTCCATGGACACTTTTTGTGAAGAATACATATTACTGTATTTGAGATAATCAAGAAATTCTTATGGATAAAATTTAACTGAAAAATACTTAACATATGTGTTTTTAAATGCTTTAAGAACATCATGTATATTGTTCTATAGGGTTTCTAAGGTGTAATTTTTCAACCTTACTTCGCAATGCCGGCTTCCTAAAGGAGTTTTGACACAATAGGCATGAATATGTTTTCAAAGGATGATGGATAAATTGCTGGGTGGTTATATAACATATCTTAGGCAGTTGATGGGGCTTTTTATTCTTTACTTGTCTTTTAGTTATACATATTTTAAGATTATTATGGTTTATAAGAATGCCTTTTCCCTTTCCTTATATCAGAAATATTTGTCTTGCCTATAGGTTACAGAATTTTCCAATCATACACTATAAGATTAAAGTTAAGCAATTTTAAAACCTCCCAACCAACTTCCTGTATTGGATCTACAAACATTGTCAGTGTCTTTGCTTTACAATTCATTGCTGGGCTGCTGGATAAAAATGAAGTTCTAATCATAACTAATTGAAAGGACACATATAAATTCTAAATATTATGTAGAAAAACCTACTCATCCATGTTAGTATTCAGTCTGTCATTTTAATTTTCAAATATATTTTGTTTGTTCCTATCCTCAGAGATGCATCAATATTATGAAGAATATAAAAAATTTAAATTTTATCAGTCATAATTTTCTATTCCAGTCTACTCTAACTGCACAATATTCAATATGTATATGTTAGAAACAAAATTTTTATACCTTTTTATAGAAACATTAAAAAGGCATATTATTTTTTTAACTAAGATGTTGTTTACTATTATATATCAAACATGTAAGAAACATAAAATGGCAAGATTGAAAATTTAGGAAGTATTACTGATCAGTAAAAAAAAAAAAATCCACTATCTTAAAACATAGATATATTTTCAGAGTACAGTTACATGAAAAAAAAGAAAATAATCAAAATTAAAAATTAAAAATGAATCAGTAATCTTTTTAGTAGGAAAATGTTAAATGTACATGTTATTTAGTCTATATAAGCTCTTACTACTTTCATTATTCATTTACATAAAAGTGGCATTAATTAAAAGCAAATCAAGGCATTAAAGTCAAAAAAGATATTTTTGCTTGAGTATCACACTTTCAAATTTATGGCTAATTTAATATTTAACTTCACTGAATAGAAAATTGATAAATGTTCACTTGTCATGTAAAGCAAAGGTTGCTGCTGAAATAAAAATCAGAATAAAAGAATCAAACAAAGCACAAGATACAAGGTAGAGTGAATCAGATGGTTCACAAAAGATTGCTGGACTAATACATACTGGACACTAATTTGAAACATATTGAGCTTTCTGGAGAACCTTGCTCATCCTTCAAGGTACTGCCACCTAACTGGCATTGTAACAGTCTTCTAAGGTCATTCTCCTGTTAATCCATAGCTGCCTTAAAATGACAGGGAACTGCAAATTCCATGAGCCTGGGTGCATTGCTGTACTTTACCTATTGTCAAGGGAACTCCTTGATCAGAAGCAGTGTTAGGTCGACTAGTAGGCTGACTGTTAGTTTGCTGTTGACTGAGCAATAACAGGTTGACTGTTATTGACAGAATGAGTCACTGTAAGGGATCAAATATCTTCACATTATCGTCCATTCATTTAGGTCTACCCTTAGACCTCTACTTTCCCCAAATTCCTTGTCATCAGTCTTGCAATCATGTTCCTTTCAAGCCCCTGAACATCTACTCAAATCACTGGCATATATTTGCACATTCGAGCACTGCTCCGGCCAAGCAAAGCAAACAAGTAGGTACAATGCTTGGCGTTATGCTTACTCAGAAAGAAGAGTTCCCTTTATTATTTTTCTTTGGGGATTTGCCAGAAAGGATTACAGAGCTGCAGATATCCACATGGGCTGGTGCCTGCATATTGTGCGAACCATCTGTAAACCAGGACCCAACCTTCTCTTCCTCTCATGTGATTGTAGGCAACCTCACTGTGGTCCACTGGTACAGGATGTGAGAGAAAAGGAAGTACAGCCAGAGGGGTGTAGTTTTCTGACATGTATACACAGCTGAGTTCCCATCTGCATGCTACAGGAAGAACTTACGTATATTTCCAAAGTTCTCTTAATGTGCAGTTTTCTTCTTTCAGGACTTCTGTCATGTAGATACCAGTTACCTTGGTTTCCCTGAACACTAAGCTCTGTCTCTCCTAAGACTGTCTTAATCTGGGTTCTTCCTGAACTATGGTATAGATTAGTATGAAGTAAGCTTACGATAAGCCTATTATACAAAGGTTTCTCTTTTGCAATTTACGACAGTTTTAGTTAATAAGCGAAGTCTAACCTATCTGAAAGAATCGTCAGTTTTAGCGCAGTATTATAATGATTATGCTTGAATGTATAAGTTTGCTTTGTTGCTTAGTGACAATTATTGTAAATTAGTATTTATTGTACTACAAATTCTATATAAATGACTTAGTCATTTGCCACTTTGCAAACCATGCATTGAAATGAAAATGTCAGTTTAGAAAAACAATACCTTGGATTATGATAGCTATTCAAATAATGGTTTAAATAGGCTTCCTGTTCCAGACATAGAAAGTTAAGACTTACATAAGTCAAAACTGTCCTCTCTAAAATGGAAAGTATGCTTCAGTTTAAAAAGATAAGAGTATATCCATCACATATTTTAGAGCTTAGTTTTGTAAGAATCATTTCTATCATTGCAGAATAATAATAATAAATGAGTACCCCTAATGTCTGTAACTTTTTCTAGTTTATGCCTTTGGAAATTTCTGGTAATATTCTGCAGTGGTTTTTCTCTACTAAAATTTTAGAGTCCTCTTACTATCATATCTATAGTAATTTTATTTATTGTAAGTTTAAATAATTATTAATATCTTTCCATCTGTGATATAAAGCTTAAGTTAAATTGTTCAAGAATATTACTTTAAAAATGAAACTATGTTCAAATAAATTTTATACCTTTCTTTTTTTTTTAAAGATTTATTCACTCATTCATTCATACAGAACTGGGGTACAGGCCAGAGGCACAGGGGCAGTGAGAGGATTCACCAGAAGACAGAATGGGTAGCAGAACAGGCAGATCGATGAAGTACACTGCTGAGGGGAACAGTGAGCAAGACAGGAGAGGCCATGTTGGTGACCTCTGGGGCAGGAGATTGAACTCGCACTGAAGTGGCTGTGGCTTGCTTAACAGTGCTGTGCTTTAACCAGCTGCACCGGAGGGCCCGTATACCTTTCTTTAAGAGAAAAGTATATGCTTGGTTCCATGAATGCATTTGTATACCTACGTTCATATATCTTACTTACATATATAAACAATTTTTGTGAAATATTCAAACTGCAGTAAGTATACACTATACCTGTAAAATGTCAGCAGGGTCTTCTTTTGCAGATGCAACCAACAAAGTATGACCACTGATGATACCTTCTGTCAAGAAATACTTGAAGAGCAAAGGTGAATAAATATTATATTTATCCTCTTCTGTAAAAAAGAAAAGGATATAGTTAGTATTCTACATATACCAAGCATACTTAGATGCTTTATATAAAGCAAGCATATATAGGGGAGGTAGTAATTATGTCTTCTTAAAGCTATAGAGGCTAAGAAGCTTGTCTATATAAGTAGTGTCTCATCTACACAGTAGGAGACAAAGTATTTTAAAATGCATTATATTAATAGAGTCATTCTGATTCCAAAAATCATTTTCCAGTTACTATTCCACATTTGGTAACCACAAAATTTAGAGGGCTGTGATTGTGTATATATAAAAAAAATCAAAGCTTATTTTATTTTCTAAGGTATCTCCCTAATTGGTCACTATTACCTACCAACTAGTCTATAAACTCACAGTGCCTTTTTTTTCATGCCACAGTAATTAAACACTAAGCCCTGCATAGCCTGACAATTGCTATTTATAACAGTTTAAAAATAGTATCATTCCTGTAGTTTGGCTTTGTATTTGAAGTTTAAAAATCATTTATAATTGGAGATTTGAATTTAATAGTTACTAAATTTATATTTAATATTTTCCTAGTAAACACATCTATTGGTTATTATACCTGTAATACTGGAAATTATTTATTATATATAGCTAAGAATTTGCCTCTAATCAACTTTAGCACGACATATAAAGTCATAGTTAAATAAAAAAAAATTTACTTAAGCTTATTCAGAATTAAATCAACTTCTGTTACCATAGCAATGATAACATTATTAAATACTAAATAATATTAAACAAGTAATATATATTACATTATATATTACATTACATATACATAATATTAAATACAAGGTGGCATAATGCCCCATTTCTCATGTCATATGCTTTCAAGTCCCTTATTTCCTTTTGCTTTAAAATGTACATAACTTTTACCAACTTTCAATAATGAAATAAACTCAAACCACTTAAATAGATAAAAATTATTTATAAATATAAGGATACTCATTACAATCTTAGCAAGGGAATGAACTAAAAGTTAGTAAGGGAATAATCACACCTGTACTGCATAAACCAGGCATATTCATTTGCGGATAATAAGATCTACTGGTTGATTTATCATTAATGAAGATTGACAATAAACAAACTGGATGGCAAAGTTCCTTTTTCTTGCTCTCTTTTAAATGAGTGAGGGTTTTGACCTTTTTCTTGCAATTCCTGGTAATCTTATATATACTCCTAGCTTAAGTTTGCTAGTAGTTCCTTTACTTTTCAACTCAGGACATTTGCATAAATTATTTCACCTTTTTGGCTAGGCAGTTCCCTCAAATCATATCATACCCAGTTAGGTAACTCCATCTTTGAGAACTTTTCCTCAAGGCTGGGTGAAATAGTCATTGTGCTTTGGGGCATCTGTTAATTATACAGTGGTATTTAGTTCTAGATGATCTTCATGGAAGAAAATGCATCTTATTGCTATGTCACCAGTGCTAACCTCATATACACTTATTAATGTTTGTAGAAGTAATTAAAGGAAAATAACAAAAAATATATCTAGACTTCTGAGTCAAATCTATTGTTTGGCTGAAAACTCTCTTTTTTCCCTCTTTCTCTCCTCCCCCCCCCCCCATAAGTAGAAACACATGCACATACCTATAGTAGCTATAATCTTATTCTCTCAAAAGTTGTATGGAGAGGATTAACTAATAGGAGGAAGATTATCTAATTAGACAAGCAAAAAAAAAAAAATACCCTCAAAACCCAATCTCTCAAGATAAAAATTACCAATTTTGTGAAACAAATTTTGAAATTGTACAATAAGTATCTAATTAATCTATTTAGTGCATCCCCATAACATTGGGCAAACAAAAATGATAATGATGTGACAGAACTGCCAAAAAGCAAATGTACTTTTGGCCTGAATTAATAGTCTAATTCCTAGGTTGAGAGAGATGATTGTCCTGTTCTATTCTTTAGTAGCTGACCAGACTGAATAATATATTGCATTTGGGGGCTTATAAAAACAACCATATTCAAAATGGAATGACCAAGAAGATGAAGGGACTTGAAAGCATAAGACATGAGAAACGGGATATTTGGCTTAAAGAGACCCCAGGGATGCAAGATAGCTGTCTTCAAATATTTGATGGGCTATCATACAGAAATGGAATTGTACTTGATGAATAAAAACAACAGGAATACCAACTGTTGCTTGATACCAAAGCTCAAATGAGCTGTTCCTGTGATTCCAGACACTGCTCTCAGAGATCCTGTTCTACTCCCCACTCTGTCTCTGATGAATCCTCTCATTGCCCCAGCACCTCTGACTTGTACCCCAGTTCTGTATGCACAACTAATAAATAAATCTTTAAAAAAAAAGATAACATTGTCAATATTTGCAAAAGATGGTTGCCTGGGGCCTCCCTGGTGGCTCAAGAGGTTAAAGCACTATGAAGCTATACAGCCACTGCAGCATGAACTCAATCAGTGGCCAGGGAGCTGACCCACATGGCACAGCCAGACCTCTCCTGTCTGCTCCGCTGCTTCTCTCAGCAGTATATTTCAGTCAATCCACTGGCTCTGTACTCCACTCTGTCCTGGTGAATGTTCTCATCCCACTGCACCTCGGCATGTACCCCAGTTCTTGTATGCATAAATAAACAAATCTTTAACAAAAATAAAGACGATAGCCTGTTTTGAAAATTCATGGGCATCTTTAGACTATTCAAAGGTCACTTGTAATATCAATATACAAAAATGAACATCAGATAGTTATAACCAATGAGAGAATCTAATAAAAATAGCACATTTATTATGGTATTAACTTATTATAGTCTCATTATTTGTTCCATATTAGTCTTCTTTATAGCTACAAATTTCCTTAAGGAAAGAGGTATCTTATTTGTATTTGCAATCCCAATATCTAGTACAAGACTGAGTGTTCAATAAACATTTATTAAATGAATTATTAACTATCATTATTAACCATTCATATACATTTCCCCTGGAGAAAATAATTACAGTTATTTTCTCTGTGTATTTTTAACACCATTTTAATAACACTCCAAACTTATCACTAAAGAGAAAAGTCCCAGGCTCAAGTGATGAAATTTTATTTTTTACTTGTTTGGACTGGTAAAGTTGAATATGTTTAATCCTGTATCATGTTGTCAATGGTGAGGATAAAATGGTGTTCCTACAGCTGTTGAAGTGTAAGGAGGCAAAAACTTCTTGGGAGAACAATCTAATAATATGTCACACAATTTTTATATTTACATAGTTTACTTAAGTTGCTTCAATCAATTTGATATTTATTCTTCATATTTTATTTACTTTATAAAAGCAAGCTTATATATAAGGTTGTAATGGTATTGTTAGTAACAAAAAACAGACTTGAATTTATCAGTATAGACTCTATTTAAATAAACTGTGCAATATCTATACAATGAAATGTTGTGTAGTTAAGAACATACATGTACTGAACTCTTAGATGTATTAAGTGAAAAAAACAATGTACTAAATATTCCCATGCTTATTATTTACATATAAGTGTAAATAATTTCTGTGTATTGAGACTAAGGAACTGAAATGACAACCTAATTTTCTCTAAGTATCATTTGGTTTAATATATTTATTTATTAATAGTAAACAGGAAATTAGGTTTTCAACAACATTTTTCATCATTTACTAAAAGGAAAAAAAAATTAAAGCAACTGATATCACCACTTCTAGAATGACTGTCTCCAAAATAATTAAATAGTATTTTAAGGACTGACGGATATATAAAATGGATTTTATATTTTATAAAATATAAAATATTTTATAAAATGGAATTTACTTACCCATCTATTAAAAGTTATCTAGTATCCAGAAATTTGGACACTAAAGCCTAGGAAAATGTCCAGAAAATTATATTCTAGCAATCAAAGTAAATGACTGGTAAGAAATTGGCAGATATGTTGTAGATACGAGCCATATGGAAACTAATTATTGGGTTCAGATATGGTGACTGGACACAGGTCCAAAATAAATTGTATAATTTCAAAAAAACTAATGTATACGTTTTCATAGTAGTAAATTGCAACTATACAAAGCAACACTTTACAAATCTTAGTAGGTGCTCTATATTTGAAAGAAAAAATGTATGACTAGAACAGAGAAATGCTAATAGCATCAAGTAAAAATTTTTATAGAGCAAGAAGCTTATAAAAAAAAAAACAACACAGGCTTTTTAGTTATACCAAAATTCAAATTCTAGTTCTTTCACTAGCTGTGATACTGAAGTATTTTATCTCTTAAAGCCTCATTTTCCAGTGTGTAAACTGGGGTATAATATATCTTACATGTAACACTTTACAAACTTGTTACAGTAAATGAAAAAAGACAAAACCCTTAACACAATTATCAGCCCATTGTAAGATGAACTACATCACCAACACCACTGTCATTGTCACCTTTCAAGTATCTGGAAGATGTGGAGAACAAGATGTTTTCCTTACTTCTTTTGAGTTTTCCGTAGTTTCATTTATTAGTCAAATATTTATGTATATACTAAATTTTAAGGACCACTACTTCATTTTAGTCATTCCTGGGTCAAATTTTCTAAGGTAATTAACACATTTCATTGCTACCTTAAGACAAGTCAATGAATAGAAATAACTTTTACTGTTAGCTGAAAATAATAATTTGTCTAGATGATTACATTTTACAGCCTCAATATATTGAGTACAAGTCATACTAACTTTGGAATACTGTATTAGTTCTGGGCACAGTTGAAGAGACACCAGATTAGAAGGTATAAGAAGAGAACTACCAAAGGTGAGGAGTGTGAAACAGTGATACATAAAAAACAGTTTAAGGAATGGTATCTAGCTTGGGAAAACTTGTGGTGATAAAATTATTTCAAATATTTAAGGCAACTCCTCTCCAACTTACATTACTCTCACACAGATTAAATTCTAGATCTTATAATATGCAAACCCATAAAATCACTGGATCATAAAGAGCAAAGAGTGCATGTTATACTAACCAATTAGAAGAACTGTTCCAACAGCTAAACCTCCACCTGGAAATGAAACAAAACCAAAAAGAAAATTAATCTACCTTTTCACATGCTTTAGCATAAAGTTAGGTTTAATCAAAGACAGGTACTTCAATAACTTTAAAACTGCCATTGAGAACAACATTTTAATTACCTTTGCAATACTTTGCTTAAGGTGCTATTATGAAATAATTATATATTATACATAATTACACACTACACATTACAATTACTTTCATAATATACTGTACTATCCTTTTTCCTGTGATAGGACCATGCACATTCAATATAACTGGTTAAGCATTCTAATAATGTTATATTTAGCCTTTGTTAATAAATTAACTCAGTAACAAGAGACCTAAATATGCACAGTAACTTAGTACTATAGAAGTACAACATGGGAATAAAAAGTTATTATAATAGAAATTCCACTTAACATTTACCCTCAACTTTTATAAGCTATGTAGAAAAACACTGGTAATTAAAACAATTTCTTTTTTTATCATAAATAATAAAGTCTGGATATGCTGTTAAGTATATTTTGAACTTAAAATAGATAACATTTTTGTCATTACAAGCAAAAAACATTTTCAGGATCACTAGAAAACATTCCAAATGTGAGGCAGGGTAATATGATCATAAACACTTAACAAAATTATTTACTAAACACCACTTAAGCATTGAGTTTTAGGAAACTGGAGCCACATTAAAAAGAGATCTAGTCGATATAGACATTTAACTCAAAATTATTTATTAAAATCATTAAAAAATTGAGTTTTAGGAAACAAGAATTATATAAAAAAGATCTAAATATTTTGCTTATTTGTAAAAATATTGCTATCTGTAATCAATGGTGTATACACTAACAAATACATTTAAAAATATAGTAGTTATATCAAGAGAGTAAAATATGTTTAAAGTAAAAATAACTTTAAAATTGTTGGACAATTGATGATGTTAATAGAGTCGGTATGTCTGAGTACAAACCTGAAACATTTAGAACACTAATGAAGAATTTCCCCTAAGAAAGAAACTTCCTAAGAAAGTTTTATAGTAGCAAATGCTAGGTAGAAAAACCGAGTATGAAAATAACGTTTCCAAGAAAACTGAAATTTGGCAACATATATGCATAATATATCTATACAGTGCAACATTTGGCAACTTCATAAATACAACATTCTAATTCTTCCAGAAGAAAACGTCTTAGAAAAGAAACTGGTGCATTGATATATTTGAGTAGACTTGCATAGGACCACACATATATTTTAATTCTACATAAAAATAGACTCCATATAGCATTAAAGCACTTCATACCTAGACTATGTGGGATGACTTCAAGATTGAACTACATATGATAACAACCACCATAAAGGATTAGAACAAAAAGATTTTGTCTGGTACAAGAGTAGGAGAAATATTTAATTTTATAATTTGTGTACATCATAGACCACTACCAACTTTTTGATTCACGTTGACCATTTAACACACTAACACCTTATTTCCCTCCTTTTCCTTATATGGAAAAATAAACATTCACCTGATCATTTTGTGTACATCAAGGAGTTGAAAAATTAATATAAGGACATACAGACACTACAGTGTTTAGTCTAGAGCAGCTGCTACAAAAAGTTGGCTTTTTTCCTTGACCTTTTTTAAAATAAGGATTTAAGCTTCTATCTACACTCCCTTAATATACATTTATGTGTCCTCAAATTAAGTTTTCATGTAAGGTTTTTACTGTAATAGAACATTTAAAACTTGTCAGTACTATTCAGATGAAATAGATGAGAACACAGGAAGGAATAGATTTCATTTTAATGAAGTGATGCCTAGATTAGATGTCTGATCCAAAAAGTTACTCTGTAAGAGCTACATTTACTATCCCCACAATTATTTTCTGATCAGGAAAAATAATCATTAATCCATAAATTGTGATCACAACATTGTGATCACAATACCTCCTATTAGTGAGCTAGTTAAACAAACCATTGTACAAATCAATTACACTAAGAATGTAGTTTTCTGTAGTTGTAATTTAAACACCATACTGTTCTTGAAACTTAGGACACAGCATTCAACTTTGTAGATATTATCTATTTTATAATTCTAATGCTTGTAAAACTGAACATTACTTAAAACACGACAATGGGGACTTTTTAAACAATCAAATTAATAATAATTAGGATTTACTATAAAAGACAGTTTTCTTTTTTTCTCTATTATGTAAATTTGCTAGACTTAAATTATATTGGCTTTAGTAAGGGTTGGTCATTTTGAAGTTTGGTAATGGGAAATAAAATGAAGTCATTTAATTAACTATTTTAAAATCAAGGTTTTTTTCCCCCTATATTTTTAACTATTTTAAAATCAAGGTGTTATTTCTCTATTACATACATACAATCACAAAGTTCCTCTATTCCTCCCAACCTGATTTTAATTTGACAAATCTTCAACATCGCTCCAAATATCTTTGTATAAAGTATTTTGATATACCTCATTTTAAATACTAAGGGTCAGCTCTTTTTAAAAACACAGTAAGTTTAAGTAAGTTTGTAGCCATCTTTCTCCAAAAAATAATCAGTTGAAGGAACCACCAATGACAAAATATAGTGACATAATATACTGAATATAAGCTTTTAATATACATTTAAACTTAGCAATCCATCAGTAGTTTTAGCTAATTTTGAAATCAAAAGACCCCACACTAATAGCCTCCAGTTAAAATAGAAATATTTTTTCCCAGTAGTCCACAAACATGTTTGATAGGTAAGTTAATATATTATAATTTTATTTCTATGATGAAAATTACAGAAAATCAAACCAGTCTTTTTACCATCTGTTCTCTTTAATCATATTTTAGAGATGTTATCAATATACTTTTTTTTAGCCACTAAACAGTTGGGTTTAATTTCCAGATCTCTTTTTAAAGTATATTTATCTCTAGCTTACTAAAATCCAAATAAACTTTTAACTTTACTTCCAGGCTTCTTTAAGAAGTATATTTAAATGTGTGTGTGTGTGTGTGTGTGTATAAATTAGTATATTTATGTGTGTGTGTGTTCTCAGTGATGCCCACCTAAGACTAAAAAAATATAAGTTTATTTCTATTTTACTAAATATACAAATAATTTATTAACATGTAAAATTATGAGTTTGAAAGCTTATACTCTGCAAGTTTGAGATTTTAAAATATTAGTTTATTGAGGATTTTAATTAAAAAAAAGGTAGCACTTTGTGTAAAAATAGAAAAAACAATTCTTAAAAATTATCAGAAAATTTAAGTTTGTGATTGTCAATGTTTTCCTATTCACATTAAGTTAGAAAATAACATCGTTGTCAAGAAAGAAAAAATTTAATTTCCACATTCTTCCCAATATAAATTTCTAATTTATGAAGTTTCAGTAAATGAGGACAATAAAGAAATATATGAGAATAAGAAGGCCCTGGAGTGACATCTTAATTTCAACAAGAGCATCTCTTTTTCAAAGTTATATAAAGTGGAAAAAGAAGTCAGGAAAGTGAATTCTGCTTAAAATTATAGAAAGGCATTTTGGGGGAAATGCAAGGGGAAAAATAAGTTCATGTCCTTTCCTTGCTTCAATGCAATAATCTTTACCTTATTAATGAAACTTTTGAAATAAAATTGCAGTTATTCCATAAACAACTCTACTTTCTTCCCTTTCTAGGAGGTATGAAACATTTGATAACTCTTGATGATTACAATTATTGTCTGGGCAAAAGCTGGAATCAAAACAGAAAAGCTATGAACAGTAAGAATGGTTCTGTAGATTAAATCATATGAAACGATCTTACATACCATCAAAGAAATTGTATAATTACATACATTTTTATCAATTGCTAAAATAAAATGAGAATCATGATAAATATATGGTCTGAAATCAATCTACATAACTCCAGGCTACATATTACAACATAGTGGAGTAAAGGAAGTAAGTCAATCAACATTTAATTTTTGACATCAATGTTGAACAATTACCATCAAGCTCCTTTCAAAGTACTTACTTCTTCCTGACCATTATTTAGCCTAAACCTTTCACTCACTTAACTATCCAAATTTAGTAAACTCTGAGTAGCGCAGAGATTAATCAAGTCAAATATGTGAAATCACTCTTCAATTATTTTTTTTGAAGGATCAGGGTAAAGATAATTCCCCACATTAGATACTAAGGTCCTAAAATAGATTATAACTTATATGCAAAAATAACATCTGTAGGAACCCTTTAACAACTGTAATATCTCTTTGGGTATTTCAAGAATAGAAATGGAATCTTTATCCAACCAAGTCCCTTTCATTTTCCAGAATATAAGTGTGTAGTGTCCTTAAATAAAGCAACTGTCTGAAAGGGCAGTATGGAGAACCTGGTTTAGGAATTCTAAGAACTTGAAAATTCTAAATGTATCCAACTTGGGAAATATATATCATTGCTTAACAATAAAATTAGTAACCAGAACAAAATAATCAATATGATTAGATGATGTTTTAAAGAGCTAAAGAAAATGATTGATGTTCAATTAGCCTGTACACCATCCAAGTAAGTTCGTATTTGTTTAAATTACAATAATAAAACATGGCAGTAGTAAAATATCTGTGCACTACATAGATGTGTCAATACAATATTTTTACACATAACCCTACAATGTATTTAGGCAACAATCACTTAACAGTTGGCTACCTTTTGCTAACATAGTATCATTGTATTTTGTCACAATATGCTGTTATACTTGTTAAAATCTGTGTCAAGTAACATTTTAGAATAACAATATAGTCTGAATTGCCTATATTTGTGTGTATATATACAATCAAATATTTCACTTTCAAATAATGTTTTAATGAAAAACAAATATAAAGTATGTTTATATTTCTCAGAGGGCAAAACAATAGAAAATCAAAATACAAAAATGTTATTTTTTAAAAATCAACAGCAAGTCAAATACTTCTGGAAATATTTATTATTCCAATGTAGTAGCTACTATTATAACAACTTCTTCCACTGTTGGGCACTTTGAGCATTAACTTTACATACGCAAAATATAAAATTTCAAAAAATTGATCCTATTTCAATCATCTTAGTGAACACTTATTTTTAATATAAGCTTACAGTCAAATATTACATTCTCCAACATCAAGAAAATTTGCACTTTTAAAATTATAGTTCAAGATGAGAGTTGTAGGAACACATAAAGAAGGTGCTTTGGACTATTTTTGGTGGTGCTTTAAGAGATTATGAATTAACTGGTCTTAAATGGTGAAAACCAACAGAGGAGAAATTTAAAAAATTTGAAACAGGGCTCTCACTGGTGGCCCAACGGGTTAAAGCACTGCATTATGAAGTTCTCCGAAGCCATTACAGCATGAGTTCAACCCACATGGCATGGCAGACCTCTCCTGACCCGCCTGCTGCTCTCCTCAGCAGTGTATTTCAGTAGCTCTGTCTGTTCTGCTCCCCACTCTGTCTCTGGTGAACCCTATCACCCACCACACCTTTGGCCTATACCTCTGACCTGTAAGCATAAAAAAAAAAAAACCCTTTAAAAAAATATTGAAACAACTGTAGCACAGGGAATAACAGTAAATTTGGAGACTAATAGCTGGATTAGTTCAGACTGTCACTAGTTTTGTGACTTCATATCACTTAATTTCTGTTTTTTTTTAAGCTCAAATAACTGTCCTATATACTTCATAACTTCTGTCCAGATTTCTCCCTATACAATCAATAGTTTATTAAAAACCTACTCAATGCTAGGAGCTGCTTACGCACATTTTGCAGATGCAATAGAAATGTAATATACTGGAGGGAGAGTTTCAGGATCAAGTTGAGTGAAGTTAAATATTTGAAAACTAGCTATTTTGAACCATTTCTTTTTATAGTACAATGAAATTTAGGAAGGCAAAGCCTTTAAAGAAGTGAAACAGTTAAATTTACATGGAAAAACCAAACCTAGATAGAAATGGATTCAATTATGATATAACACTAATAGTTGTTGAAAGTGTACAAAATTTAACTAACACATTTCACATATGAAAAAGTTATAAAATATAACAGAATGGTTTTAAGGAAGAAGCATTTTGAGAGGAGTTAATTTATAAGCTTTTGTAATACAGAAGCTATACCTGACTGATCTGTCCAGTCCTCATGAAACATGCATATTTTCAGCAGATTTCTCCTGAAAAATTATAGAGACTTTACAAGGAAACCTAAGATTTGGACTTCCTTTTCTTGTTAAAATGTGAATTATCTTTAAACATATTATTTAGCTCTGAAAAGCAATATATGTACATATCTTATTCAATAAAAACGTGCATGTATTCATATACATTAAATGCAGGTGGATATGACAATCTCAATTACATGCTTTAAACTATTTTGGATCCACATTATCCTTTAACGTTCTTTTCCTAAAAGCCAACGTGATTTGTTTAAAAATTCTACCTAGGGTAGAAGAAGCCTGGTATTGAAGGAAGGGAAGTTACTTTTTTTCAGCATTTTTTCTAATGAAACCCATCTTTCTCAACGATACCAAGTTTTGTAGGTTACTTCAAACCATTCACTACCTGAGCAGAAGAATGTACTCAGAGACCAGGAGGGGATCCTAGATGAAGGCCAAACCATCTTCAAACATTAATCCTTCCCCTTGACGAGGAAGGATTTCAGGGTTAAAGGAACTCAGAATGAAGAAAAAGTCTGGTGAGCAGGAATCAGAATAGAAAGTGGGAGTATAAAAACAGGTTTGGTTAACAGCATTTAGAAGTCTCCATGCAACCGTTCCTTCCCATCATCTCTATCACCTCGACTAAGCTCTCCATATTTACGGCTGAGAGGTCAGAGAGATGTGGGGTCAGGTGGTTCCCCAGGTACGTCCCCTCCCTAAGTTTTCCCTCTGCTGATCCCAGATCTCCATTCTGAACCGACCTAAGAGCTGGTCCAGGGCTGGGAGCCCAGTTGACACCAGCAGCTGTCCATTCCGCAACGACGGTCGTGTGCCCGCAATGGACACCAGTCGAGCACCGCCACTGTCGGCACCGGTGGTTCTAGCATCCCTCCTTTGGAAACTGGTAACGATGTTTTTTCTGGCTGGCGCCTCAGTTGTGTCCCCGGAGCCGGCGCCGCAGGTCGCCACAGCGGCCATCTTGGCGCTTCCCGCGTTGACCCAATAGGAACTCTGGGAACTAAAGCAGCGGACCTGTCAGAGCCTGCCCGAAACTCCCGCCTCCTTGCCGCTACCGGGCTCTCTCAGCCAATGGCACTGAGAAGTTTCTCCCGAGTCAACCAATCGCAAAGCGTGATGCTGAAAAGTGCTCTTACGTTAGGACAGCGGACTCTTCTACGGAGCCCAGGTGAGAAAGGACCACCTGAGGCCT